AAAAGCCAAATTTTTATATGTTCCTGCGAGACCACCTACTGCCACCAGTAGCCTCCCACCGTCCAGTGCAATCCCACAGAGTTGGCCTCCTCAGGGTGCCGTCGGCCAGACAGTGTCGGCTAGCAATCCCCAGGGGGAGAGCCTTCTCTGTGGGAGTGCCTTCCCTCTGGCATGAGCTGCCCCCAGAGCTTTATATAATCCTTCCGATGCGCCCTAAAAATTTGGCTTTTCCAGCAAGCCAGCCTGGCCTGAACAAAACAAAATAAATTATTGATCATTGTTAATTTTAATTTTTTTTTTTAAATGTTATTGTCAATTCTAATTGGGGTTTTTTTGGCATATTCTATTTAATTTTTTTAACTTTTGTATTATGTCTTTCTTTTAATGTTGTATGCCACCCTGAGTCCTTGGGAGAAGGGCAGCATATAAATCTAATAAACCTAAACCTATATCATGTCCCACACTTTTTCAATCAAATTACATTAAGCCTTGCTGGCTGGGGTCTTCTGGGAGTTGAAGTCCATGCCGTTTAAAGTTGCCAAGGTTGAGAAACACTCCTTTAAAGTTTAAAAGAACAAAACACCAGCTCCCTTCCAGACTCACACCATCTCTCTTAAGGATTTGGGAAGTCTGGTTTGAAGCACCCTCAAGTGATCAGAAGCTTTGGCATTACTTCAGTGGTGTGCGGTAAAAATGCCCTGCAGCATTTTCTAAGCCAGGAAAGCAACAACAGAAATAGCAGGGAATGTTACGGTACTTGATTTCATGACAATGCATGAGGCTCAGTGCTTGAGAGACCATCATATGTGCAGTCTTGAATGCACAAAGAAGGAAAGGGGGAGGGGAATGAATGTAAGGCACAAATAAAATTTCCTAGCACCTAAGATACTGCGGATGGGAAGTGGGGACCCTATGAGATTTTCCACTGCAACTAAAATGGCATTTTTTTAAAAAAACCAGTTTTCTTTAAAAAAAAATGAACTGCAGCAATGATCTCCAACTATACTTTAACCTTCTCTATGCCTAACTTTACCTGATTTCTTTTCACAAGCTTTTATAAGATGGTAGATCAGATCTGGTATCCCTTCAAATGAAGAGCAACCAGCGATAACATATCCCTTAGATGGCTATGTGAGCAAAATGCCTTAGGTTGCACTGACATTAGAAGTCTGGTACTGAGTCGTCTCCCTCAAAAAAATCTTATCTCTTACAAATTTAATAAATCACTGCAGGTGTTGGGAGGAGGGGAGTCCCTGCTTCATACACTCCCAAGGTCTTTCTCTTCAATTAAATATCTGAAGACATTTCACGTATCTTGAAATATTCACAGTAATAATCCACCGATCATCTGTTAGAAATTCAGACTGCGTTATTTTGACTTTTGTTTTTGCTGATTAGAACCTCATCTTTCTTTCCTTTATTTTAGGTGAACTGCCAACAAGCTGCAAAGAAGCAACAAGACTCAAAGTCATTACTGAGGATGGCGAATATATTCTGAAAGTTAAAGGAAGACTTTTAAAGGTATGATTCAAACACCACCTCTGTTTTTTGAGGGAGGGAAACTGTTTATAGGACAGGAAAAAAAAATTATTGATCATTGTTAATTTTAATCGAATTTTTTAAAAATGTTATTGTTAATTCTAATTGAGTTTGTTTGGGATATTCTATTTAATTTTTTTTTAACTTTTGTATTATGTGCTTTTTTAATGTTGTACGCCACCCTGAGTCCTTGGGAGAAGGGCAGCATATAAATCCAATAAACCAAACCAAACCAAAAAAAATATTTAGGTTCAAATGACTATAGATTCCTCTGCCTGTTATACATTTCAGTTTTCTTGCTGGGAGTATAGGCATTCGTTTTTCATTGAATTAGAAGCAAGGCATTCCACAATAATTATCATTAGAAAGAACTTTCTGTTTCAGTTCTCATTTCGAGAGGGAAACGATTGTTAGAACAACATGAAAAGAAAATGAGCAATTCGCCCTTTGAGATTCAGTTATATTTACATTGTGCAATTTTTTCAGAAAATCATAATTCTATACCCTCTTCTTATTTCTGCCTTTTGCACTCATCATCAGTTTTAATTGTTTCATAAAATTATGGCTCTTTTCCCCCACCAGATATACTGTGCTGGCATGGACTCCGATAGCCCTAAAGAATACATCACTTTGGTAAATGGTGATGCGGAGAATTTCTCAGAAGTCTACAGCTACAGGTAAGAACAGGCAGCCATTCTGTATTTTTAATTATGTCTCGCTACCTTGTATAATTTTTCTTGCAGTATGTAGAAAAGGGTCTTTCTTTTGATTCAGGTTACATAACCCAACTGAATGTCCATATAATGGAAGCCGAAGAGAGAATTGTCAGTGTAGGAAAGATTACACAGCAGCTGGGTTTTCTGCCTTCAGCAAAGTAAGGCTGGACCTGAATGCTATGCAGATAATAAGTGAGTAACAACAATATTTTGTTTCTCATCTTGTTTTTCTTTGTTGCAATTGTTGGAATTGTTATTCTAAAAGAGACCAGCTTACATTTCCCCAGTTTAAGTTTTATATTGCCCTACCTTCTTTTACAGTGCTTAAAATGAAATATTTTATCTTGCTGCACATTAAACTGAGTTCTCTGTGAATGTTCTTTTCCCTATCTTGCCTCAGCTAAACTCAAATGTATCATTATAATATTAAGCATTGTTGAGAAAATTCTACTTCATGTAATCCCATTTCTCATTGGGAAATTAGTGTAGGAGATGACCAGGTTGACCCTGAGGGAGGGGGCAGACACATTATCAGTCACATGCTCCTTCTCGCCCACATGAGATCGAAGTCCAGCCCACCTTGAACTCCTTATCTACCATCAAATTGCTTTGAACATTAACGGTTCAGATTCTTGTAGAGAGCTTACGTTTGCAATAAATCCTGATACCCATTTGAACCGCCTGGATCTCCTAATTTCCCTGGAACTTGACATCTCCCAGTATTGGGACAGTGGTTCTCACCAGAATTCCCTTTTGACTGAAGTCCCATCTGAAAGCAGAAAGGTTATACAAGAGCAATCAGATTTCACAATTTAGCAACAATATTGGAGCTGTACATTGTCTTGAACTAGAGGCAGTTCCTAGTGATAGCTCCTAATAAAGAGGCATATTGCAGTTCTTTTATGGTCTATAGCTGTGATGGCGAACCTATGGCAT